AAACTGTAAAATACTTCATACAGGGGTAAACATTTATATCAATCATCTATAGCTAGTAACTGCACACGATTGTCCCTTTGAAATTCATCCTAGAAACACAAACCATCATCCCTATATCTAAGATCTCAAACAGCCCTCTGAGCACTTCAGCAATATAGCAAACTGCATGGACAGCAGTGGTTTCACAGATAGGAAAGAGATATGGATTGAAGCCCAATCAGGAGTGGAGTGATATCTTAAAGAGAGACTTTTGTATGGGGATAGTTTCGTCACATTTTAAAATACGTTGGCAAAGACAAGTGGAACATGTATGTCAATTCACTTAACTTGAAAAACACATGATGATGATTTATTGCATACTGTTCAGTGGACAACTCTTAGGATCCATACTAGGAAAAAAAACATTCTACGTGACTGCAGGACAAAGAATTAATGTATGAAGTCTGACATGTCCAAAAGCTCTTCACTTTTAAGGTTTTAAGTAGTTTTGGTTTTGGAATAATCACCAAAGTGCCACAGGTATGCAACCCATGTGTAATCTAAATTTCATGTTATACAAAAAAGTAAAATATAGAGAATACTTCTCGGTATAAGGCTTCTCTCAGACATACGTAACTTCACATTTTTAGTTTACAAACTAAGTCCCATATAATGGGGAACTTCAAAATACACCTATTTTCAGAAATAATATATACTCTTGTGTATTTATCTGAAATTAAAAAGCAACTTTGAGACGAAAAGGCCTCAAACTTTGCTTATGTGGCGTTGTTTTACATCCATGGTAGCAGCACTAGAAACTGGCTAAAATGGGGCCATTCTTTAAACTACAGGGATTTTTCTTCATCACCATTAAATGAAGTATTTGTAACAACTTCATTGGAGCTGCATCAAGTTAAGGCAGCTAAAAACCTACACCATGCATTTCAAACCACTGATACTTTTCTCCAGAGCAGTGCCAACACCAAGGACAAATTCTGTGTGAAATGTTTTGACTGAGGAAACAAATTGTGTTTCGTGGTTGTGTGGTTTTGGTTTTTTTTAGGAAATAAATGAAAGTTTTAAAATCTCCGAAGTGGGGGAAAAGCAAAAAAAAAAAGAGTGCTGGATGGATCAGTAGGCTGGCAACAGCAAGCATCTGAGGTGAAAAATCAAGTTTGCCAAATAAATGCACAAAGCCAAATTTCTTTCAGGTACACCCTGAAGAATACTCAATTTAGGGAGGCCCGTGTGATTTGAAACTCTTTTTACTGATGCCTGCTTCACTGCTGGTAAGACTGTCTAAAAATGCATTCATGGATTACTAGCTGATGTTCTAAATGTGGAACTGGTTAAAGAGAACATCAGAAAGCATTCTGAAAAATCTAAGAGGTAAATCAATTCATCCTCTTTCCAGTCAAAAATCTGAATTTTAAAGGTTTTTCCAATTTGGAAAGAGTTAGGTCTATAAGTGAAGGTCTGTAACTTTGGGTGGGGGGAGGGAAGACATTCATATTTCTTAGTCAATCTTCTCTTTTTTTTTTGTTTCTCTTTTTTGAAATAATTCAGGAATTTCCCTTCTGTGCCATCTAAAAGCCAATGGTCATAAGCTATTGTACATTACTTATGTGGATGTGTTTTTCCAGCAACCCACAAACTATATACAGACACGCCTAGGGCCAAACGCTATAATCCTATGAGCAAACCTCACACGGGGAGGGACAGAGGAATGCTCTTGTCATGCGAGCTTGGTGCTACAGCCTTCCTCAGGCATTCCTTTGTTAGGGAGAAGAAGCTTCAGCCCTGTGCAGTGAGGACAGACAACAAGGGGATGCTCCCACACGGCTGGGGGGAAGCTGGAGCTCAGCCCCATGGCTGCAGAGGAGGCAGGGTTGTGGCTGCTCCCACGGGACCCCTGGTCACTCTCCCTCCCCATACCACTTTTGGCAGACATGGTGAGGAAAGCAGGCTGCTTCCAGCTCTGGGGTGCCCAGGGCCTGTTTCCATCTGAATCCTGCACCGGGATGGATTTGCGGTCTCTGAGTTAGGCAGCACAAACTATGGCAGTGTTGCTTCTTGCTTTTTCTGCCCATTTTGTTCTTTATTGGCTTATCCCCAACATGTGTGCAGGGGAAAATCTGTTTTCCTCCTCTTTATTTCAAATACGCTAAATATTACTTAACTACTTCATAAGTCTGCTGCCTTGGAAAACATCAGTGATATAAATATCGAACTCTCAAAAGTATGCTCTTAAGAATTACTATTCTACACCTATAGACATTAACTGTGTTAAAGTCAATCACATGTTTTTTTAGTACAACCTCAAAATCCATAAGCTAAAGGCATTGCCATGCAGTGTTGAATCTGGATAAACAATTTTTAACAGGGCACTGTCATGAAAATAGCAACAATTGCATACAGTGGTGTCTTTTAGTTGGCCTTTGTTCAGAACCTGGTGGTGTGCTATATATTGATGCAGCTATATTAAGGGATGTGCTATTTTATTGATCTAGTGGTTATCATAAGATGGAAATTATTTCAACACAGAAAAAATGGTTGATAGCAACATCTTTGTTTCAAGGAGAAAATAACATAACATTTTCATTTATCGTCGTCTAAAGCAGTTTCTCTACATGTTCTTTAGCTGGATGTGAAGCATCAAGACGATTTTTTGTTCATGTAGTAATAAGTGCTCAAGAGGAAAAAAAAATCTGGTTTGGTATGGGGCCCTCAATATTACTTGTGCTTGAAACAACATACCAAGATTAATACTAGAGGTCAAACTTTGAAAATCCACCCCTAGATTTGCCTGTGTATTTTCTTATTCTTATTTATATGGGCAGATTATTATCTTTGTTTAGAGAATTTGTCTCTAAGGTAATTTCTAAGTCTGTGCAAAAGAATACATTTCCATTTGAAAATGCTAAAACTGCTTATCTTCACTGAGGCAACTGAACTGTTATTAGTGTTAACTTTCAATAATATTATTTTCAGCTATTTTAGTTGATGAAATTGCCAACTGGGCAAAACTAGTTTCAAAGCGATTAATTCAGTTATCCTATTTTAACATTACATAGCACTTTTCATCCAGTGATGTCAAAACACTTACAGACATTAAGTAAACCTCACAACTCTCCTGTGAGGTATGTATACTAAAGTAGTATTATCCCCGTTTTGCAGTTGGGGAAACTGAGGTGCAGAAGGATTTGTGACCTGTCCAAAATCAGGGAACTAATGGAAGAGCCGTGGTCAGAAGCCAAGAGTCTCAATGTTTATCTGTTGCTCCAACCAGTAGACTGGTCACTTGGACTACTCATAAATAATGAGGTTTGCAAGATATGTACATGACGGTACCACCCAATAAGCAGGTCAAAATTGTTTCTGCTTATAGAAAAGTAGGGAAATGGCCAAAGTTGGACTTCAGAGCTATTTTATAGAGAGCTTCACATTTCCTATATGAATGCTCACTGTAAGTTTTCAATTTGCTTTACAAGAGCTTGACTGTACATACTGGCAACATCAAGCTATGACTTGGCATAAGAACCCTTCTGTTAGGGAATTAATCCTCAAAACAAATTTAATTCACATCAAGTTATTTAGGATTTAAAGTACTTCTACTAAGTATCATTCACACAAATCAATCTCTCTAAAGGAAACGTCATAAAAATATAAATTGTTGATTAAAAAAAACCCAAACAAACATTATCCCTTTTTTAGTGAATAATGCAAGTGAATTGCTGCTTGTGTCCTTTTGCCAAGGTACTCTTATGTAGACATACGAACAGAACACTGTCTCGAGGTACTTTCAGTTCATGCTATTTCCCAATCCCTGATGAGATACTTCTTTGCAGCAGGATGCCCCTGCACAAAGTTTTACCTGAAATGGGACAACAAAATATAAATCCTACGTTTCTCCTCAGGCATGTAGGTGTTTCAGGAAGACATAAACAGAGAAGGTTATATAGAGTGTTCTCCATGCCTCAAAACACCCTTATGGCTAACAAGTTTTATACTATAACAAATTTGTACAGTAGAAAACAGGACATAAAAATATTTCCAGAAAGTGGCTTTAAAACTATTATAAATAGTAAGTTTGGCTAATTCTCAATTAAGGGTTTTGGGGACAGTTTTAAGTATTCTCATCCCCTCTTATTCACAGTAAATTTAGTGTGCTTGTGGCCCAATGAACAGTCCATACACATACAGGGACCATTTCAGCGGGATTATATGACAAGAGAAGGATCTGTTAGTCGCACAAGCAAGCCAATTTTGTCTCCTCTAAAACCCTCTTGGAATCCTTCCTGATGCTCTGGGTCCCATTATGGCATTCCCTTTCTACCCAACCCACACCCTCAAACAACTATTCACTTTTTTTTTTGCCACATCTTGCAAAAATATTTTTGCCTAAGCCCTGTCCAAGCGATGGTAACAAATAGAAAAAGTCCAAGAAAGCAGCAGCACAAAACTCTCAAAACTTTCTAAAACTGGGAAAACAATAATTTTCCTTCTTTTATGCTGTGGCTTATTTCATCTTCCTTTGTCTTGTCATATAATAATGTTCATGTTGTGGGCAAGTGCTTGCAATTAGCAGCCCCACAGTTATTTAACCTCTGCAAAAGTCATACATGGAACATATATTCTTTGTGAATATTATATCTCACCTATTGAATAGTACTTCATTTCACCTGGCCATGATATAGGGTCTGTGTAAACAATCAGCAGAACCTGCAAGCAACCACGGTTCTGTTGTGAACACTATCAGTAACGCTTTACATATGTGTGTGTACATATATATATAAACTTACATATATATGTATGTATAAAAATCAGTCCTGTAAATACCTGTTGCATGTGTGCACGTGCACAGGAGAAATATTACATTCTATTAATGGTAAGGCATATTATTAGATAGGCAATATTGGCAATTGTTTTAGCTTTTATCTTGTTTGTTCTGTTGCTGTCGATCACACGCTGCCAGAGGATCTTTAAGGATGATGAGGATGGGAAGAGGCCACTTGGAAGATTTATTGCACACGGCGGCAGTAGTAGCCCAAAACTTTGCACTTCTCACACAGATGCTGGGGATGTTCTTTGCTCTGATCCGAAACATCCAGGCCGTCCGGCTTTTCCAGGGGTCTCTACAGTGAAGGGAAAGAAATCAGATTAGATCCAAGGTTTCGTCGCCGTTACTCTTTACTGCGCTGTGAAGTCTACTTTTATGCTTAACTAAACTTTCTCCTAGTAATTACGAAAGTACTGTATTTCTTTCCTGAAGGGATGAATTTCTTTTTCAGCTCTGCATTGGTTTGGAGTGGCCTCACAACTTACTGTCATTCTTCTCCATAAAGGTGGTGGTGGTAACTGTTGTAGACAAATTACCAAAAGACTGAACTGGGGACTGTATTTATAAAAGCAGTAACACAGAAGAGTTTATTCTCTTGGCTCCAGTAACTGAAATGTCCCAAAGGCATTAACACCTCAAGCGTGGGAATCCCGTTACCCAGCAATGCCAGCAGAGGTTACCAGTCTTGGGATTAGCTGCTACGACAAGAAAACTGTCTTAACCATGCACAGATATTACATAGCTAAATGAGGTTTTCCCAATACTCAGTCCCATATTTCTGAGGCTGGAATTTTTGAAGCAGAGCAGCTGCAAAGCTATTAATAAAAAGAACCCCCCCTCAAAAAAAACCCCAAAAGAACAAAAACCCCTAATCTCCCAACACAGCCCTTTGCCCTGAACCTGAGTAATAAATTGACTATGTATTTTTAATAATATTTGTGAAATCATAGGATTGCAGGTATATTCAGTTAAACAAGGGAATGAAACTGCTTTGCTTTTAGTAGATCTCTGTTCTTTAATTTTCCGTGACATGTAAAGGTTTTCACAATCATTCTCAAAATAAAACACCCACGTTAAATACTGCAGTAAGGTTAAGTGTTTGGAAAGTCTAATAAGTAGAGAGATGATAAAGATGTGAGGTAGAACATCTAAAATGCATAATTTATTTGGAAAAAAAACCCAACAAAATTCCCTAACCCATAATTTTTCTGTTTTTGTGAAATGTACCTGAAATACTACTTCATTATACAGTGCCTTCCCATGAAGGCAACAGTTGTTCTATGGGACTGTGGTAGAGACAGTATGTGGTGTGACATCTGAAAACAAGCCATAAGCTTCTCACTGGAGTACTAGACTCTCGCTTATCTCTTCTAAATATGATTCTTGGAGCAGGAAGTGGATAAATATAAATTACAAAATTATGGAGATTTATCTTTTCACACCTTTCCTAAATCCTAAAGACTTTTCTTTAGCTGTAAAATCTTAAAGTGCACCTGATAATCTAAGTTTTCAATTATAAGTACTTCATTCCAAAGCCAACCACCTGAGACCCTGTGGACAGGAAGAGCAGAGACATTCAAAGCCTTGTTTTTTTGGCTATGTAGCACTGCAAGAACAACTCATAATCCAGAGAACAGGAGGGTTTTTCAGCTCTCTGAATAGCTAAAATGAGACAAAATACATTCTACTATCCTGAACAAGGGATATCTGCAAATTTGTGCTTGGTTGTATGAGATTATAAGTGCAACAGTTGCCTTAAATTGCACAGCTAGTAAATATATGGGAGTAATTCAGTGGTGATTGCGAGTGGTTTGTTACTGATTGAGTCTTCTTATCCGTGATATTGCCTGAAGTTTCATCTGTCCTGGGCCACATCTTATATGTCTTTGAGTTTAACATCATTTGCAATTTAATTGCAAATTGGATTTCCTGTATCAGGTAGGGGATAAAGAACATAGACGGATCCCTCATCTCCTCTAAATCCTCTAACCTCTCCTGCAACCCCACTGAGCCTTAAATGACTTGTTGCAAGTCAGTATGTTAGGATTGAGATCAGAACCAGCAATCCTGTTTCTAGGCTGGCAACCCAATCACTGGTGCAGGCAACGCTTCCGCCACAACACAGACAAGTTGAGTAAGTCTATTTGGTCAGAAAAACTGCCTCTGCCTTTTCTATCACTTATTCCACCAACATCTGCCCACAAATTTTCTTCAGGAATTTGCATTACATAAACGTAGTCAAAGATGATGCTCAAGTTCAGGAGTCCCAGGAGTTACTTTATGCTCCTCAACAGAGAATTTGAGAGTTTTGAAATGCTACACTTAAACCAGGCTATTCGACTCAGCTCTGATTGCTTCTACACGCTAGCTGTGCTCTGATTAAAGAGAAAAAATACAGCAGTTATCATGTTTATTGATATAAGCCAGATTTTTTTAATGCACAAGGCCTTGGGAATCATTTTTCCTGGAAATAGTGCAAAGGACATTGGGAATGCCTTGAAGCGCCAAGAGTTTTTGGACGGTTTTCAGAAACAATAGCTCTGCGTGGTTTGCTTTCCCTCTGCGTTGATTGAGCTCAGCTTTTTGGCCTGTAAAGCATTTCGATTTCAGAAATGTTATTGTTACCAGTGTGTTACGACACAGAGGCTGGGGAGAGAGGGGTTACAAATGCAGGAAAGCAGGTTGCCAAGGCCCAGCTGGAAGAAGCGGAGCCGAGCAGAGCTCGGGCTATGTTTCTGGTGAAGTAGTAGAGGGCTGAGACTTCGAAACTGGTAGTGTGCTTGCGTGGTTTGTGTCACAAAAATGCTTCAATCCAACTTTTGCACAAAATGAAGTGCCAGCTTATCTGTTTGCTGTTTCTCTTCATGGGTTTCTTGTAAGGCGAAAAACCCCTTCAAACACCCTGAGAAGCAACTGTTCTTGTCCTGCTGCTATTTGTCTCTTAGTAATTGTGGAGGATTTTAGTAACCTTACACCCTTGCAGCCTTTCTTACACCATGCTAAAAGGGTAGGATGTTAGACAGCCAACAAGCTGTGTGTCCATCAGGGCTGGGCTTCCTTGGCACCAGACAGATGACCTTGGACAATTCTCACCAGCTTTGGCATGGTGGAAGCACAGGTGAAGGAGAAGATGCTGGCACAAGAGGGATGTGGCAGGGTCGGGCTGCTGCACACTGTGTATTAGTTTTGGGGATTGCCTGAATTATGCAGAAGATCCAAACAGCTGAGGAGGCTGCAAGAGCTCTGCTGCTGCTGAGAGGCTGGTAGCATGAAAACTCATCCATGTGTCTGGAGAGGGTGTGGAGAAGGGGACAGGCTATTTGGCTGAAAAAATAATTCCTTTCCTTAGAGGTGAAATGAAGCTTGTAAACCAACAGAAACTCATGCTATGTTTCTCTGGGAAAGGTATGCTTTTTTCCATTAAATGGAGAGTTTAAATATAATACTTCAGTTTTCATTGTCTTTTTTTAAATGCAAGCATCCAGGCATTTGGCAGTCCATATTTTCAGTAAAAACTACAGGGATGGGCACTCTTATATTCTTCACTTTTGTGCGTCTTTCTTTAATTTTCTCCTGGTAGTTGCTGGGTGGAAATAATCTTGTGCAGCTCCACCAGGAAAGCATTTGGTGGTAGTGACTAAAACTGTTGCCTCAGGGGAATGAAGCTGAAATAAATTTAAATTTATATAGAAATTCCTGTCCTGCAAATTAACTTTTGATTGTGAACTATTGCTGTCCCGGTCTACATGTACAGAATGAACTCTGCATTCCCCACAAGTCAATTAAAAACCCAAACCCCTCAAAACAAAAGCTCACCCTTATGAAGTGTTAGGTGTCAGAGAAAACATCACTAGGACATCCTTGAGAAAAATTGCTTCCACCAAGAAGCAGAATGGAATAATGTGGCTGTTTGTTTGTATTTAGAAGATTAACTTTTTTTGCTGTAGAATGGAACAATTTGATTGCACCACTGATGGATAAAGGATTGCATCAAAATTCAAATGTAAGAAAACACAAATAATTTTCTGGAATCATTACCTCAAGTCTTAAGCAAATAAGATGATTAAATGACAGATTAGATATGTGAATATAAATGGATTCTACAACTATAGCTGTCAGGATAATTGTTAGGTTAACAGTCTTAAGGAGCCATAGCTAGCTATGCTTTTGTCAAGCATATGCTATCATGAATTTGTAAATTTTTAGTCCAATAAAAAAATTATGCACTGGGAAAAAGGATGGAATGCAATGTGCACTCTTGAGCAGCAGACCCTCTGCTTTTCTGTCTGCTTAGGGAGGAACAGGGACATTAATGAGGCCCTCAGTTGTTGCTGTGGATCCAAGAGGCAGTGATAAGCCTGCAGATCAGAGGCATGATGCTCAGAGAGAGTAAGCAGCCTCTGTCAGCAGCATGCCTCTGGGACAGGCCAGCTAGGAATCAATGATAACTGCATGAGCTAAATGGTGGAAATCTCTAATTAGAGTCCAGAGAAGCAGCAGTCTGATGTGGTCTGTACTTCCACTACTAGAGTACACAAGCATGGGCATGCTGGAGATGGTTTATTAAATCTAAAGAGTCAAAAGATCATACTTGTAGGCTTGAAACTGTTGAAAAGTTTATTGGACTTGAGTGATCAGACCCATCCTTTCCCATAGTAAGAGAAGAGAGGTGGCTGTGGATGCACCCAGGTATGGGAGGTTGTGATGGGATCACTGCATTGCCCATGAAAGTAATAGCTTGGATATCATGAAGAATGTATTTACATACCAAATTATTTCCAGTCCAACAGTAAATTCCTGACAGCTGGAAGAAAAGAGTGTCCAAGAGGACAAGTCGGTCACCAGATGGCTGGTGCTGCACCAGTGCAACAGCTGTCATCACAAACAGTACTGGAGTCAGCCACAAAGTCAGAGAAGCAGCCTTGATAAAAGGCCAGCCAGGAAACAACCACAGGCACAGATGTTGCCACTATAGTGGGCAGGGGAAGAAAATGAGAATTCAGAGGTTGGCATCTGGGCTGTTACAGTGCCAAGAATGCCAATGAATGGCTATAAGGACTGGCTCCATTGCTGGAGCAGGGTAAGAAGGAGCATAAACTACAAAATCCAAATCCCTTGGAAGAATAAGAGGTAGGTTTAAGTCCCATCTGAGATGTCTGTTTACGTTTAGAGCAGCTAAAGTAACTACACAGGAAGTGGCTTTTGGAATAGCCATAGAGCAGCTTTGTCAGGGTAGTTCTTTGGTCTCCTATTCCTCAATAAAGCTCAAGCTCAACTGGACTCCAATTTTTGCCT